GTCGAGTCTAAAGCTTCCCTTCTTCCATCACCGTGAAGGGAGCCTCGAAAGATCTCTCCCAACTCTTGAGTAGGTCCCTCGTCCCTCCTCCATTACAGAATTGGGTAGAGAGAAATAGCCACTTAACTATACTGATTCTGTATGCCCGAAACCTTACACGCCTATTTGTATGAACCAGGCCCTTAGTTTGCTGATCTAGCGCCCAATGCTAAGAATGACTTCCATAGTGGGGGGAGGCATCAGGAATATGGTATTTACCATATATAGCAAGATCAGCAGTTTTTCGTGTTTAAGAATGATTCTTTTGCTTTCCCTTTGATAGCACTGGTCTCTCACTTTCTTTTGAAGTGGCGCTATGTGAATGAAATGAAAGTTTACCCAGCGATCCGCTTACCGCTTAGGCGCTAGGCACAACGCTGGCAGAAGGCTATACGGACACCGCTTGAAGGTGCCTGTGGATCTATCTAGAAGAGTATATTCGCCTATAGTATGTATGCCAGCTCACACGGTCTCATCCAAATCAGAGTTTGCACCCACCTTAGGAAAGATTCATTTTAGTCGTTTCCCGCTTCTCTTGCCCGTAACCATGTATGAGACAACCTCTTGAGGACCTTTGCCAGTAAGGCTCTGTATCGAAAGCAGGGGTGTGTCCCTTACTCAACACTTCTTCCGCTTTCTTTTGGTGGCATTGCCCTTCTCAAAGCTGTCTTTGCTCTTGCTCGAGCAAAGGGGTCGGAATGCACTTCTTTTCTTTTAGCAGCGAAGGCAAGCGCAGGCAATCCCCTGAACTTCTTATTAATAAGATAAAAGGTGCGGCCAAGCCGGTACCGTCCTAGCCATTTCGACATCTATTCGTTACACTTCGTAGCCACGGGATGCTTAAAAGACCCGAGCGAATTCAACCAGCGAAGGAGGAGGCTCCTGCTGCTCGCCAGGTCCGCCTCGTTCCGGTTTTAGGAATATGGAGGAACGATCCATCGTCCCGATCTTCATTCTTGTTAGGACAGTCAGCCATATGTCTGCTCCACTTGTTGGACCCTCGCCTCTCAATCCTCAGATCTCTATTCCCTAAGGCTCTAGCGAAATTCTCTTCTATGGCTGTGGTTACTTAGTCACAAACCGCAGTGAATCCATCTTTTGTAGATTCCCCTTTCGAACCCCCCAAACAGAGGTTTTCCATGAGGATTTGATAGCGATTGTATGGACGTAGAAAGGAGTGACTAACTCAGATTGAAGCAACGAAAGTCTCACGCACTGGTGCAAGGAGAGAGAAAGCCGATGGTTTAATGAAACATAGCTGACCATGGTCAAAACTCTTTCTGTGTGGCAATTTTCAAAGAACTTAATAGAAGTAGAAGAGCCCATTTTTCACCCTACGTTGAGCTTGAGCCTCATTTGCAGCAAGCTTTTGCGCACCGTTCTATGGGGAAACTCTCTCCATTAATGATGGAACGTCGCCGCTTCGCTCCTGATAACCCCAGGGAATTTCCTGTTGTCACCCCGGTTCATTTTGAATTGATGAAATAGCATTCTTATGAAAGCCTTTTGGAGATGATCAAGATTGAGATTTTCATGAATATTAGTGCTACCCTGCTCGTCAAAACAACAGCCATTCGTACTTTGATGCAACCAACACAAAGGTTATATGAACAGCGGGCAAGAATGGATAGTCGCCAATCGTGGATGGAACGTAGTAGGAAATAGCTCATCAGAAGAAAGGCATCGGTCAACGCTAGAGGCATTTGAAGGGAGTAGCCACCAGTACAAGAAATATGACTTTATGGGGGCTTGTTGAGTCAAAAGTGGACTTTCTGCTGGAAGATATGAGGTTGAGGGGCAAAGTCAAGCAAGAAGACAAAGGAAGTGGAATGTCCAGAGAAGGGCATTTGAATCATTGAGAAGCGGATAAACTCAGTTGCCAGAAGATGGCTCTTTTTCCATTGCAACGACGAAGCTTGAGAGGCAGATGATCCCGAAGCGTGAACCAGATTCAGAGAAAAATTCCATACCTATATTAGCAGGCGAGTCCGATACTAAGAAGCTTGAATAAGATTCTACAACACTCCCTTACTGGTCTTCGATAAGTCGATGAACCAGATGAAGCAATCCATTTCATAGTCGAATGCAGCAGATGTAGCTACATGTTGCAGCGGATTCGGCTACATATTGAAATAGCAGCTCAAGCGTAGCGATAAAGTGAGTCAGATACGCCAACATTTGGGTAAGATTCCCCGAGAAAGTTCATGGTCGATGAAGCAAGATTTCCCGAACAATGCCTGCCTAGAATCTAGATTTAGCTATTTAGCTGAGCGTCGTAGACTTGGAAGTGCCAAATCATTCAACATTTCACTTCTCAGAAAGAGTCCCCTTTTCAGGTTTCGTAGAAAGACTCTCCGGTTAGTAGCTTCGCTATAGCGGTGTCTTCCCGTCATTTGTTTACTTAATAGAATCTGACCCTCCCTCGCTAGCGCCAAATAGGTGTATGTTGCTAAGGCATTTCTTTCTGTAGATAGCGTCTTCCGCATTCCCCTACCTTTTGATTGACCTCGCGAAGAAGTATTGATATGGAAATAAAGGCATGGGAGGAGTGTGTCGATACCTAAAGCCTCAGGGAGAATGGACTTCTTCCTCTTCTTCAGGATGCTTAGAGTCCTATCCTGCCGCTTCTGCCCTGATTGAAAGAAGGGCGAGGTCACTATGTGAACAAGAACGATTAAACAATAGCGTAAGTATACAAGTACACAGCTTGCTCCTTAGATCCTGATTCACTACTTCTCATTCAAGGGAAGGTTTCGAAGTTATACTCTACACAATGAAAAGAAAGACAAATTATATTAGATGAAAAAACTGTTGATTCTTCACCAGGTATTCCACCTTCTGCCTATGTTATTAGAAGCCTGTGCTTGCTCTCGCTTCGCCTCAAGCACGACCGATTGACTCGCACTATCTGATTCATGGTCCGGCTTTGCTTGTCTGGCAGTGAACTCCATTCCCTTCTGTAATGGGAAGGAAAAAGAGGTAGCCAACTAGCTCACGGGATTGGTTGTAGTGATAGTCAGAATCTGTGCTTGGCTGGTCTGTGGTGAGGCTTACTCATCCCTTCACTTCTTCAGTTCAGCCTTAAACTGACACTTGTCCAAGTTCCGCCCCAGTAGCCCTTGGATTAAGAAGCGACGCCCGTACCTGATTTCTGGAGCACCTCCTATAAGAGTCTTCGAAGCTTCGTTCAAACCATTAAGCTTAGCTTTCTACTCGTACTTGTTGGGTCTCTTTATTGGTCGACTCACCCCTAACACACTATATTATTGAATGACTCTTCTTAAAGATTCTATGTTCGGGGACTGGCCGGCTAATGAGAGGTTTTGCCATATGATGCTTAGCTAATAAGAGTGGTAATGAAACTGTTTGAAACTAGGCTCTGGGTGCAGACCCCAAAAGTATAGCAATGACAGCATCATAAGCATCGAGAAAGAATAGAACAGGAATCAGTTGGAGAAAGAGAAATCTTGGCACGTCCAGTAATTTACAGAGAAGTGCCCGTATCGGCGACCAATTCCTTACCTGACCTTGTCCCTCTCACTCTTCAGAATGTTGGTCTACGGGGATTTGAAAAACTGATCAAGGTTGGTCTTCAAAACCGAGATCAGTTGAACAAGCCAATTCCGACACTAAAGAATAGTCACGTAGATCCCATACCCATTGTGAGCTAACAGTTATTAGATACTATGCTAAGAGGTTCTTCTCCCTGATGTACTTGTGTTGAGTCATTTCTCTCCTTTCCTTCTCATCGTTTCATGTCAATCAAGTACGTTTATGTATGTTTGTCCCTCACACATCAATCACCTATATCTGCGTCTACTAGTCTGCTTTGCTTCAACTAGGCTAGGTAGGATCTTTTTCTTCTTCGGACTGTTGGCAACTCATCACTCGGCTCCTCTGGTCACTGGAGCAGCTACTTCTAACCCTGCTGAGACACAAGATTCAAACAAAAGTCAGAAATAACAGCTTGAAGACGTAGGAGACTAGTTTCAGGCTTTCTTTCTTGAGACTCCCACAGAAAAAGGGAGGACAGCACATCCAAGATTCTACGTGTAAACTTAATTCCTAGGCGCTATGAGCTAGCTTCCTAGATGAAAGAGTTAGGAGTCAAAGGCAGGGGTTACTTCTATATGGGCCTCTGAAGTGAGTGGACATAGCCCTAATTTCATGATTGGTTTCACTTTGGAGTGCTGTTCATCTTCGGTTAGAAGCGGGATAGACTCATTTGCCTAAAGAAAGGAGAGAGCCAGGGATCTTCGATCTATAAGGGAAGCTTTCCTTAGCCCTTGGGAAAATCAATATGCCAACTCTATTTCTCTTTGTCAAAGGGAGCGGTGAGAGACTCCCAATGGAAAGGGTTTGATTTGCTTGGTCCTCCGGATGACCATCTTTCGGGTTTCATCCTCTCGCTGCCCCAAGAAGAGGTTTTCCTCTATTGCAACCTGGTCATTGAATCGATATCAGCCTTCATCTTCGTAACCCGCCACTCTTCTTGGCTGTGACGTAGCACTCTTTCAGGTATGGTGAGGCCTTTCTTTCTGTAGATATCGTCCTTCCCCCTCGGACTCACATATTTTCATGTGGGAGAAGCTTCCCTAGAACAAGCTTACCAGCAAGAACCTTACCCTCCATAGTCCCATTCCCTATATGAATTCTGCTCTGCCTCTTTCCCAGCTTCTTATTCTATGGTAGGTGGAAATCTTCGTTCTTATTCCAATGAAGCAGCTATCTAACTTGGAATTCTTCTATTCCGCGCGAACGGACTCTTCTCTTCGCTTCCATTCAGGGTTCAGCTTGGCTCCAGTTTCCGTGGTGAGTCAATTCCGACAATAGACTTCAATCAGCTCAGTTTCCACATCTCGCTTGAGTCACAACACTACTTTTTCTTCCTCTCCATCTATATGCGACTGCACTTTTTCGATTACGTGTGAGTCTCCGTAGTGATCCTTGTCTCTGAGATC